TATCAAGAAAGGAGATCAGTTTGCTGTGATAGACCCCAAGGAGACCAGAAGGCATTTATTTCCATATTACAGTGGTGGCTCGCTTAGCGATTGCTTCATTTAACTATGTATTCGCTTAACAATGAAGTTTTTGGAGCGATCTTGCACTCCGTTTAGCGATGTTTCCAATGGGGAAATTTCACATAGCGATGTTCTGGTTTGCTGTGATAGACCCCAAGGAGACCGGAAGGCATTTATTTCCATATTACTATCCAGCTAGATAAACGCACTGGCAAAGCAGCTACCATGTTCTCTAGACTCACAAAGAGAGTATGGCTGAATAAGAAGCTGACGGCATATACCAAGATCCAGGTCTATAGAGCCTGTGTCCTGAGCACACTACTGTACTGCAGTGAATCCTGGACCCTTTGTACACGGCAGGAGGAAGCCGAACACGTTCCATATGCATTGTCTCCGACGCATTTTTGGTATCACCTGGCAGGACAAAGTTCCAAATAGAGTAGTCCTAGAATAAGCTGGAATTTTTAGCATGTATACATCACTGAAGCAACGATGTCTACGTTGGCTTGGGCATATCATGAGAATGGCTGATGGTCGGATTCCAAAAGATCTCTGTATGGAGAATTAGTGCAGGGAAATCATCCCAGAGGAAACCATGACTGCGATACAAGGATATCTGCAAGTGGGATCCAAAGGTCTTAGGAATGGACCTCAACAGATGGGAAATCTTGACATCTGAGCATTCAGCCTGGAGGCAGGCATTGCATCACAGCCTCTCCCAATTTGAAGAGACCCTTGTACAGCAGACCGAGGCAAAGAGGCAGACCCAAACCAGCAAAATCAGGGAGCTGGACAGGGGACAGATTGTATTTGTCTTCAGTGTGGATGGGACTGTCACTCTCAAATTGGCCTTTTTCAGCCACACTAGACGCTGTTCCAAGTCCTCCATACAGAGCATGTTACCATACTCTCGAGACTGAAGGATGCCTATCATCCACTCAGACCACTGGTGTTTCTATATTTTGCTTTGGGTGACTAGGTTTATGAATTAAAGCTTTTCCTTTTGGACTATCAATTGTAACCAGAGTCTTCACAAAATGTACGGCATCAGTCACTGCCTACCTACAAATCTGTGATGGTATGGTATTCCCATACATAGATGACAGGTTAATTGTAGCAGATTCAAATGGCAAGGTAAAGATGTTTCTTTTGCATTTCATCCACTGGTTGTTCTCACTCTTCATATAAACCTCAAAAAGTCACATTTAAAGCCAAGAACAGTTCAATATATTCAATGTATTGGAGCACTGGTGGATTCAAAGGACTCCAAGAGCTTAATAACCTCACAACAGGATAGACAAAATTGTGGAACTGTCAAAGAGATTCATTCACATGGCACTAGTTATGGCACATATGGCCCAGAAACAATTTGGTCTTACGACAATAGCAATGGCAGTGATTCCACATGCACAACTGTGAATGAGGTCCCTTCAAGCATAGTAACTGGCATCCTTTGGCATAGTAACAGAGAGCAATTTAAAGAAACTAATCATAACCCAGGAACTAGCAGAACAGCTGTTATGGTGGCCAAACAAGTCCAGTTTCACAGTGATAAGACTTTTCAGGCAGATCTATCCAATCATTCATATAATGAAGGATGTGAGTTTTCTCGGCTGGAGAGCACATTGTCAAACCCAACAAATTCATGCTGTCTTGTCCAAAGAAGAAAGACGTTTGCAGTACACTTCTAGCACCATATCTCACCACCTGGCTCACTAGTCCAAAGAAGAAAGACATTTGCACTACTAGCACCATATCTCACCACCTGGCTCACTGTCATCAGCAACGAATGGGTGTTAACCATCACTGAATGCGGTTCTGCCATAGAAGTTATGTCTCTCCCTCCTACAGGTCTTTCCAGACTTACAACACCATATCTGGTTCTGGAAGAAGAAACAGCTATGCTACTGAAGAAAGACACCAAACAGCCTGTTCCCCCTCAAAATGCTTTCCAACAGCTTCTACTACCATTATTTCGCCATCCAAGGAAAGATGGTAGTATGAGGCCAATCCTGAATCTGAGAAATGTAAATTCTTACACACTAAAAAGTTCGGATTGGTGAAGCTAGAACCAATATTAATAACTATGTGTTGTTGAGTCAATTCTGACTTGTGGTGACCTTTTTCATGGTTTTTAATGAAGAAAATACTAAAAAGTGCTTTACCAGGCCCTTCTTCTGACGTCATCCTGGGACAGTTCAGCTTGTCCAAGGCCAAACAAGTTGGCTCTACTCACAGGAGACACTGTTGGTAGCTTCGATGACACTGTCCAACCATCTCGTCCTCTGTCGTCCCCTTCTCCTCTTGCCTTCACGCTTCCCCAACATCAGGGTCTTTTCCAGGGAGTAATCAACTTAAAGACACCAATTTCCATATTGCCATCCATTCAAACCATTGCTTTTTCTTGGATGTCACACGGGGCAACAATATTTACCAGTTCAAACTGCTCCCTTTTGATCTTTCTATAGTATCCAGGGTTTTCATAAAGTATATGGCACCAGACACTGCCTACCTCAGACTCATGAGATAATGGTGTGATATACCACCACTGAGCTTGTCAATCACCCACATGTGTGATTCACAGAGACCATGACAAAGAAGGCCGGGCTGCTTACCTATAAATTGTGGTTCTTCAAGTGGCTACCTGTGAATTCACACACCTCACCCATTCTCCCCTCAGCCTGCCACGCAACCATTTATTTTTTGTCAGCAGCAGACTGTGGGAACTGAGGCCTAACCATCAGGTGGAGGAACATACACGCACAATGCAGGGGATTGGTCTAACAGATTCTTTGAGGCTCTGAAAAGTTTTAAGCAGCCTAGAGAACCCACATGTGTGAAATCACAAATGACCACTCGAAAAACTAGTTACAGTATGAGTAAGCAACCTGTCCTTTTTCTTTCTATCTGAAGTCGAAGTTCAATGGCAGAACTCCTTGTTTTATCATTTGCAGTTACAGAGCCACACTCCTCTTACTGCTGCCTACAGACACCAAGAATTTCTCTTCTTTTCACATAATCTCCCTAACAATCAATCACACACAGAAATACAGATATACACAGATGGTTAAGGAGCCTCAGCACCCTGCTTGTCATGTTCCCTTGTTGCATATTTATTTTCTGAACCTTTGGGAATCTTAGTTAATATTTCTGCCATTTTTGCATGCTTCTGAATTTTGTTGGGTTTTCGTTTTCTGCCTTGTCTTTCTCTTCTAGGCCTTCTACGCAAGGTAATCCTTCCCACCCCGCCCCTTTGATAAAGGAACTGGATCCCCAAAGCATGATGAGGCATGAAAGAATTCAAGTGCATGCAATTGCTTAGGGTCTTGTGCCTCAATACTCCTCCTACTCACCAGGCATGGAGCTCTGTCCATGATTTACGTTTCTCTTATCCATCAGCAGCTTTCTGAGCGCTTGTCAAGATTAGCTACTCTTGTCTCTTCCATGGGGAGAAGAGCTGTGACAGAGATCCAATCTTCTTTCAAACCAAAATCCACCTTCATTTGTAAGCCACTGATGTCCATATCAGGAACAAACTGCCCTGAAATTTTTACCCCCCAGAGCACTACAGTAGCAAATTATTGAGAAGGACCAAGATGAAAAACAGTAGCAAGCATGCTACACATGAAGGAAAGCAGCAGGTCTTTTCTTCTCCTGACACTTGACAGGCTGAGTATATTTTAAGATTTCTCCTGAAGCCTGAGAAAAACAAATGCTATCCAATCACAATTTGATGAGTTAGCTGTGGTCATATTCTCAACAGTGAGGAAATTTAGAGGATCCCAGTTAAAAAAATTCATATTAGCACAGGATGAGAAAGGGAGATGATGGCATGAGAGATCAGGAAGCAAGATACACGGAACAAAAAAGAAAAAAATCAAGATATTTCTTAAAGGAGAAAGTGGATATACATTTTTATTTTTAAACCACCTCTTCTCATTCTGTCATCTCTTTTACACTAAACTCATTTATACCTTCCACACTCTACTCATACAGAGTCCTAGACCATTTGTGTCAAGTGTACATATGGTTGTCCACCTACCAGCCCCATCCCATTCCCTCTGAAGCCTTTGTACTTCTCATCTTTTCCACTGATCGCTCCTCTCATTCCTGAGTTTTGTTTTGTCCCTCACAGCTGATGAGGGTCCCTTTACTCCTACCCTCTTTCTCAAACAGTTGTTCATCGATGGCTAAGAATATTCCAGTTATCGCCACACAATAGAAAGCAATAGCAAAAAAATTATTTGCCCACTCCAAGCAAAGGAAGATTATGGGTAAAAGAATTGTGGGATCAGGGTGGGCTTGATAGCAAAGTAATAATCTGCAATTGCTGTATTGAGCAAATGTAAAGAAAACCCATGGCAGAAAAGCCTTTTTCATACAACTCTCTTGCAAGCTTCTTGTAATTCTCGGAAGACAGGTAAGGATAGTTTAGACTGAAGCAGTGATCACCATATTTGGCTCCCAAGGTCCTCAGATAAAACCTCTTCACATATGTTGACATTGTAGACTTAACAGCGGCTTAATAGTCACTGTAAGCCTAGAAAACTGTGATTCTTTAATTAGGTGTAGAGACCTTTGAGCTTGCTCACCGAGTTACAATTCCCAGGATTCTTTGAGGGGAAAGCATGACCAATAAACTGGTATAAATTTGCTGTGGCTTTGTAGTGTAAATGTGCCCAATCTTAAGAGGGCTAGGGACTAATGCTGCAGATATTTCCGTAATATCTTGGAGAAACTGGCAGCAGTAAATCTGCCCTGAACCCATTGGGTTGGAATGAGGGGGATATTTAAGTAGGAGGACTGAGTCCTATCTTCTCAACCTCTCCCAAGACAGTGGGGGACACTTAGCAAGACCCAAAAATGTGGCCTGGTATTGGGAACAATAACTAGGAGCCAAGCTCTCATTATCTCTTCTTATTTTTTGACTTCTCCTTCAGATCCGCGTAGTGAAAGCGTTCCGTAGCTCACTGTACGAAGGGCTGGAGAAGCCAGACACAAAGACCTCCATCCATAACTTCATGACGACGCCCGAGTTCTTGATCAATGACTACATCCACAACATTCCCCTCATTGATGATACAGATGTGGAGGAGAGCGAGGGTCCCCCGAGACGGCGCTTCCGGGCCAGCCCCCCACCATCCCCCAACAAGAACAACAATGCCATTGACAGCGGCATCTACCTAAGCACCGACGTCAGCAAGACACCTACCTCCTCGTCCAGCCCAGTTAGTCCGCTCCACAGCATGGAAACCTCTCTCTAACACAACTCCACCATGCAACCAGTTGAAATGACTTTATGCACAGCGGGAGTGTCCACTTCCTCCTGGGAGATAAGGACTAGCTGAGTGAGTCAGGAAGGAAAGTGGGCAGGAGATGGCATTTCTCCTCTTGACGCTGGAGGGTGTTTTTCTTTTCCTCTCAGTGAGGTGGAAACAAAGAAGGTTTCTGCCACTGGATGGCTCAGGCACATGAAGAAGAGAAACTGAGTTGACGCAATGAAAAGTGATGGATATACTGTGTGGGGAGGGGGAAAAAACAAGTTTTCTTCAGAGTTACCCATGAAGGGTTTGGTCTGAGTCCCGGAGGGTGTACAGGAAACAACAACAACCACTCATTTCTCTAGTCTGTTATTTGTTTCTCTTTGGACACAAACACGCTCACCGAATCCACAATGATCCCCCACTTGGGGGTTGCTTTGATTTATTTCTGGGACCTCTTTTCAGTTTTTTTTTCCTCTCTCTCCAAAGTTGAAAAAAAGAAAAAGAATTATATTTGCACCTGGAAAAGAACAAAAATAACAAAAAAGAGGAATAATCTAGAATCTATTATACTAAATATATATATATACATATATATATGATACCAACTGACAGATGTATTAACGGACCTTCTGACCATAACGCATGCCTGTTATCAAACCCTCCTTTCTTCTCCCTCCTCCCCCGATGGAAATTTCAGTCTGGGGCAATTTTGTTTTTTGGGTTTTTTTAAAAAAAACAACAACCATTGCTCGCTGTAGCTCGTATTTTATATCAAGGTTTGCTGAGAAAAGGAGAAGAATGAATTATTTCCTGTTAGAAGGGGAAACTGACTGTGGAACCACTTCTAAGGAACTGAAAAACTGAAACACCATTTGGTTTGGTGATGCGCGAATGAAGAGTGACTGAAATATGATTCTAGTTGTGATGACACAGATTTGGTCCTTTTTAGGCAGTTATCCTGAAAACAGCAACCAAAAGTGCCCTCCGCCATGTGAATGGGGCACAGTCCCTGTTGCATCCCCATGTTCACAATCCAGATGCTTCCTATAGCTGGTGGTTTCAGTCAAACTTCCAACCAATATCTGAGCAGCAGAGAGCATTTAGGAAAAATGATAAAGATTGTACTTAAAAAAACAAATGAACAAAAAAAAAACAAAACAGGTAAGCAGCAACCATAATTTGTTCTTCCAGATTACTGCATCTGAAAGAGCATCCATTCAGGCTGTTCCATCCATAGTACTCAGCATCGAGTCTGGGACCTGGCAAAGAAGTGATATTTCTAAGAATCCTGTCTTTCAATTCCAAACATAGAAACAGGTTTCTAGCACTTGTACCTGTACAGAGACATTTGAAAAAAGTATAGGAAGTGTCTACTGACGGTTCTGTAGGAATAGTCTTAGTTCCTCACAGCTTGCACTCATTCTGAGTAGATTTATATTCAGCCTTATTCCGGAATTCAGTCATTTTATGTACCATGCCTTAGAAATGCCCTTTTTATCCTTCCAGGAAGGACTGCTTTCCTCAGTCAATTATGGTACATACAAACTCTGGCCTGGGAGAATCCCTGATCTTCTTGAGGCATGCTCTTTGGTCAATTCCTCACCATTGCTATGCTTAAATTATTGCTCGCCCGCCCCCCTCATGTAGTTATATAGCTAAATCAGGAAGTAAAGTTTAGCCCCAGAAATACAAGCAAATATCCCTGGAGAAAAAGGAAATCCTGACAATGAGGAAAGACATGGAGACCATCTTAGGCAGAAGATTTGGGATGCCTTTAACGGAGTGCAGCAAAGTAGGAGATAATTACATCCCATCCATGGACCACAATATACCAAGACCAGTATCCTATTGAGCTCCTGCAAAAGGAAAGTCCTACCAGTATAGCAGTTTGGGATCAGACAAGCATTGCCATTGCACAAGCGGTGATTTCTATAAAGAAAATCTCCCTGAACTTGGGCTTGTGCGAACAGCACGGTCTCATCTCACTATTGGGAGGATTTTCTGTTCAGCAGAAGCTCAGTAGGGAACTCGCCTGAAGAGTCTCCTGTGGAAGCTGCACTGAGATGAGGAAACATATTTTGAGTTTTTGTATAGCTTCCAGACACAACGAAGTTCGGTTAGGACAACATTACAGTGGGCTTTGGCCCCTGTTACTTAGTAGGAATAAAATGTCTGATTTGCACTTCTTGCCTCATGCACCAAACTGGTCAAGATCAGAGGGACATGCAGACTTTGTTTTTGGACTCCAGCTCTCAGAATTCATCAGGTAGCAGACCATGCTTTTTTGAATTTGTGGGAGCCATGATCCAAAACCACATATCTGCATACCTCTAGTCAAGAGTTTTGACAATGAGAATTATGTGTAATTCTGGATCCCATGTCACCATGATCCTATGAGTAGGTTGCTGCTCTTACAGAGAACAAGAAAATAATATGCAATTTATATCCCACAAAGCTAACAGAAATCTTACAAGGCACAAATCCATGCTACACTTACAAATTCAGAAAAATCAGTTTGTCCAAGACCATCAACAAAGATTTATATTTGAGTAGGAAATCACCCTACTCTAAATTTGATACACTGGATGAAATCCTGCTGCTTAGTTACACATTGCAACTAGAGTAGGCCCACTGAAATCCTGCTGCTTAGTTACATGTTGCAACTAGAGTAGGCCCATTGAATCTGTGGGGATTTGGTGAGTCAACTCTTTCATAGATTCCACTGATTCAGTAGCTCTACTCTAGTTCTGACTTACTATGCTAAGCAACAGGATTTCATGTAAATCATCCTGGTTCTTATATGCATATCTCATATTTTAAGATACTACAGGAAGTAAAGAGGGAGGGAGGAATGTTGAAATTAACAACACACCGTAGCAGTTAGGACATCATCTTGCTACATATTGATTATTAGGCAAATAATAGAAGTCAAATAACAGAAGCCTGACACCTGTAACGTATGGTAACAAAAGTTCCTCAACTGCTCATAGGGAAAAGTGGTTTCCATCATATTAAACCCATACAGTGGTGCCTCGCTTAACGATTGCCTCGCTTAACAAGGAAATCGCTGTATGATTAGGTTTTTGCAATCACAAAACGATGGTTTAAATGGGTTTTTTTCATTTAACGATGGAACCGATTTTCGCTTTACGATGATCAGCAAACAGCTGATCGTCGGATTTCAAAATGGCCACCAGCTGAAGAAAATGGCCCCCGCTGTTTTCTAGGATGGATTCCTCGCTTTACAGGCACCGAAAATGGCCAATCTATGGAGGATCTTTGCTGGACGAGCAGGTATTCAGCCCATTGGAACGCACTGAATGGTTTTCAATGCGTTTCAATGGGTTTTTAAATTTCGTTTGACGATGTTTTCACTCTACAGTGATTTCGCTGGAACGAATTAACATCATCAAGCGAGGCACCACTGTATTCATATTCCCTATCCCCACACCCAGCAATCTAAAACTTACCAAGTTACATCAAACTATATTACCCACCATTCCTATCAGAAACACCTACAGGAAGGTCCCGGTTACAACTGGCTCTCCAAGGCAGCTAAAAGGGATCAGAGTACAGTATATAGGCCTCACCCTAGCTAGGATCAATGATTAGGTGTGGGTTTAAAGGAAAAAGAAAGGGAAGCACACTCACAATATTGTTGAATCTTTCCTAAAAATCCAAGGTGCTGAGACTCTACACAGGACACCAAAAAACTATTCTGATTTTGTTAAAGATGATGATGACAGAAGGGGGAACTATCAAATGGTTAGGAGTGGATGGGGCAGAGCTTTGTCAGGATACATGGGTGCTACCTTTAACCCAGACTGTTTAGTCGTGGGCTGCAGAGATGAGTCAGACTCAACTTTTCAGCAGCCTCAGCTTTTTCTATATTCAAACCCACAGTTAAAAGCCCACAATATTTAATATTCTCTGAAACATGCTCTTCTCTTCATTTTCCCTGGGCAAACCTGCTTGAAAATACCAGCTGCAGCACTGTCAGAAAAGCCATCCCTTCTTCGGAAGGGCAAATGCCAAACCCATCTGTAAATCTTTTTGTCGCCATCTTTTCTTTCCAAGAAAAAACAAAAAGAAAAAAAAAGTTTCTTTTTTCCTCATCTTGAGTGTTTAAAGAAGAAAATAAAATCCAAAATCTCAAATGTTTAGTTTTCAAGGAAAGGCAGAAGGGCAAAGCAAACCTTTGGTCCCAGCCTGGGCTTTTTTTTTTTTTCATTCAATATTGTAGATATTATTGATAGAAAGAAATATTATATATATATATTTAAAAAAAACATTCAAAGAAAAACAGAGATCACTTTGCTGCTGTACGAATTTACCAGCTATTTACCAGTGAGTTCTGCTATTTCACAATGACTGGGGAGGGCAAAGAAGCATTCATGCTACAGGGGAGAGGGAGAGGATTCTCTTCTGCTTGGGGACTTTTTTTTCTAAACCATAATAACAAGGGGAGAGGATGAAGGTTTTTTTTTTAAAAAAATAAATAACTAAAAGAAGTGCTTGTACATTTGTCCACCTACAGGGGGCCATCCCAGAACCACAAAAGTCTCAAGCTAACTGCAACCAGAGATGCATCTAGAGTTTCTAAACCAAAGACCTGCCTGCCACTCAAATAGTATTAGTAGAACAGGGAACACATTTAAGCCAGCACTTTCCTATACGTACAGTAGTGATGTCCATCCACAGAAAGTTTGGTCATACTTTGTTCCATGTGACACACAAACAGTAAATTCATTCTACAGATGGCGTCTCTTATCAGGAAGGTTGCAGCTTGATGATGGAACACATGCCTTGTATGCCGAAGATCCCAAATTCATTCCCTGGCATCTCCACGAAGGATAGGGAAAGACCCCCGTCTGAATCTTCAGACAGCCATTGTCAGTATAAACAAGACTCTGCTAGACGACTCTGCAGATCTCACTCAGTGATCTCACTCAGTGACGTTTGCTCATCATAACAGCTGACGGTGCTGTTTGTTGAAATTTAACTTGTTCCATGGGAAACAACCAGTGTAACAAACCATGGTTTGCTAACCAGCCACACGCCACAATACCAACCCAGCAGTTTTTACTGCTAAACCACAGCCACAACACATACTTGCTTTGTTTTCCCAGCTTCAAGACATGAGCAGACAAAAGGAACAGGAGAGAAACAAACCACAAAGCATAAATACAGCCCACCATTGGACGTTCATGCCATTTTGTGGCTTATTAATACAAACTAGGACTTACAGTAATGTGTGAAGTGCATTTCCACATGATCCTATGGTCAACAGCCAAATAGTACCATCTATACATAAAAAGAGCATAGCACAGACCTGAGGAATCTTCACATTTGCAGAAGTACAAAACATGGGGTTGGGAGGAAGGCAAAAAGAGAAGAAACAGCTCAGTGTTAATTCAACAAGAGCCTCAGACACAACTCAGTGACAAGTGAGCAACTGATGAAGGAGGGTGGAATATCATTATCAATACCAGTTTTTATTTTCTTCAGACATTTGGGTGCCACCCTTGGGTCTATGTGCAAGTGACAAGTACATTACAGGCAGGAAGAATGTCACAAATACCTCAGAAGCGCAAGTTAATTTGCAACCAGCTAAAGGGATGTGCCCTAAATGTCATAACTGGCTAACCTGCAGCCATGAGGACCAAAGACAGCAGGGGACCATGACTAAATAGGACTGGATGTATTGGTGGGACTGGCGACCGCTTAATCATGGCCACACTAGCTCCTGCTATTCTGTGCTCTTGTCTGCAGATGCTAAGTAAGCTGAAGGTAAAACCATACTTGTGTGCATGGAGTTGCAGTGGCTTATACTTCAGGTTCATGGCAAATTTGCCCGGGGGGGGAGGGTTGGCTACTATTGGCATGGCTGAGAAAGCAACTTCCATGTGCTTCCTCTGCCACACTAGGACCTGGTATTAACTAGATTGAAAGCTGCAGCAACTGGACTGACACCACCACGTCCAACAGAAATGCAAGCATAAAGTGGACACAGTAGCCTTCGGAGCTCGGACTAAAGAGCGATCTAATCCAAACAAAAGCAGAACCGAAGACAGAGAGCTGGCCCCAAGCTTCTGATGCTTCAGGGTACACTGTGAAGCTGAAGGTTTCCTTTAGGTATCAGAGCTAGCAAACAGCATACAGCCAGTCCCTTATTTACAATGATGCATCATAATGCTCCATGGGCATGGGAGAAGCCACAGCTGCCACACAGCAATATTCAATGGGCTGGGGGCAGGGGGAGTACAGACAAGAGGGTTACAGCAGTGTCTTTTTACTCTTTACTCATCACCTGCCAACCTATGTTGCACAGCTGCTGCCTGGCATCCATGTGAATCATGTCTGGCTTTGATGTCCTCAGGGTCAAGGCATTGTGGCAAGGATCCCAAAAGGAAGGATTGGAGCGAAAGGCCTCCAAAGCCAGGTGTTGTCTGCATAGCCAGATGAGAAACCACACCATGGAGATAGGCCAGCAGCAATTTGGGGGAGGGGAACACACATTTGATCAACAGCTATGTGTATAGATTAGACACATGTTTCTCACCTTAGCCTCCATGAACATCCCTTTTTAAAAGCCATTTTCTGTGGCAATGAAGTTGGTAATAATTATGCACAAGAATCTTTTGGTATGTTGTGAATCCACTACCATCTACTGCAGATGGGTGAAGCCGATCACCAGAGTTTTGAAAAGGAATACTTTTGTACGTGGTTTGGTCTTTCTTCGGTACCTGTAAGGTTCCAAACCAATGCTGCACAGGCCCAAAGTCATTAGGGCCTCATCCTGAGTAAACACAGAAAGCTAATGTCTCAACCTCTTGCCCTTCCAGACTTTGAGAAACCCCAACAAAACTAACTGTTGGTCAAGGATTCAAGAGCCTGATGATTAAGACATCTGGTGGGACTAAACTTGCTATAAAAGATCACACTGTAAAGATTCAAACTTCCAAAATTTCTGAACAATGTCCTCTAGATGTTGGGCTATTTTAAAAAACAGAAAGATATACATGCCAGTTCGCTAGGAAATTTTAAAAAAAGGAAACAAAATTCAGATTTGGGCATTAGTTCTTCAGAACTCTAAATCATGTTAGGTGGTATAAAAAGCAAGAGATGGGGGAAGAAAAGAGAATATCCAAAAGATTGGTTAGATGAGACTGGGAGTCAGCCACAGTTCTGGGGGAGTGCTTTCTGGTTCTCCCTGATTCCTGGCTTTTCATACCCACCTAATCCAATTAACAATCCTGGAAAAGTCAACAGCTTGCATGCATTTTCAGTGGTCCTAATTAAAATATTACCCGACCCTGACTCTGATTATTATAGTGGTTGCTAGTATGGATATCTTCTGTAGGATATCCTCTGAAAAGACTTGTGGAGAGAAGGATGCCAGCCTCACTCCTTGGATAGGATGGGCTCAAGCTTCTGTTCTGGTTGCACAGGGAAGGGAAGCTTCTGATCATAGTCAGCAATTGTCACAGGACAACTGTATGCCAGGCTCCCCCAAATAGTGCAGAAAACACAGAAAACAGGCAGAGAACGTAGTTTTCTGAAAATCTTAGTCTACAATAAACTATACTGGTAGTTCATAGTAAAAACCTAAGGCCACTCCATACATCACATGGCAACAAGTTCAGGTCTTACCACAAAATGTGCAGGGATTGATTAATAGGGATTCCCCATTCTTTAAAACACATTAGATAACGTGGGAAGTTTAACAGCAGCCTGAACTGGAGCTGATAATATCCCTCCAAGTGTTTTTTATTGACTACAACTCCCAAGATCCCTCACTGCTAGCCTGCTGGCTAAGGCTCACAGGACTTGCCATCTGACAATAAAATGGACATTCAAAAGTGCAATTCAGGCATTCAACACAATCTATTTCAACTTTCAGTCTCTGGAGAAACACTTCTCTTATTTTAGGTCAGGAAGGGGCACATTTACGAGAATTTCATTCATTCACCCCCACATTCCTCTGGATATGTCACACAGCTAGAGCCAGACAGCAGCCAAGCGAAGACTCAGTTTTTACTCCAGAACTAATGATATCCCATCACCTATTCATCAGATAATCCTTCCGATACACAAGGTGACATACTTAATACATCACTACATCTGCTCTGATGTTACCCACAGCAGTGTCAGAGCAAAGACGACCAGAAATCAGAGGTGGGGGTATAGCCCAGCAGCACAGTTCACTTGTGATGGATGCCAACAGGTTAGGGAACACAGATTTTCCCCACTTCTTTCCTCCTCATCCCATGAATCCTGATACAACATGAGTTCAACAGGACAAGTGGCCTCATTTTCCGAGAGCCAGAAGGCTCCAGGTTCAGTTCAGGCTGGTTGAAGGGGCAGCAAAGGGTGTGATCAAAGGCTTCCCGCAACTCTCAAGGCATAGTTCTATTCAATCATTCCATTCAAAGTATCTACGGTACAGATCCAACACCAGTCCCCTTCAGGTGGGGGTCCTGCTGCTACCTCGGTCCCAGATGGAACTGACAGGTTCTGGCCTAGGAGGGTTTCTCTTTTAAGTTCACCTAAGAAATCTCTGCATCCATCCTATAGATCTGTATCAACTCCAAGACAATCTGGTCAATGACACGCTTGGACAGATCTTCACTGAACACCTGTAGAAAGACAGAAAAGAAAGTCACACAGGAAGAAGGTTCTGCAAAGCAGGAAAGTAACAAAGGTCTAGAGACACATAGATTTCTTCCAGAAAACTCGAAGTTGAATGAAAGGATGGATTACAGCTTCCATTGTGATTCCTACGACCTTCCCCTCTAGAGGCCAGCCATGTAAGATTCAAAACCAGAGCTTCTGAGCTACAACTCCCAGAATCCATCCAAAATTGTTAGCTTTCTATGTTTTGGCCAGGAAAAACAATCCCTCTAATTTTCTGTCCCACTGCATGGGAGTCTCATTTCATGCATGCGGGGGTGGGCAGGGCTTCATTCAAAACAGGATGTAAACAAACTGGCTGCTGGCTGTCCGTGCATAGCCCCAATGGATCTCTGAGCGAGTGCACACATACGTGAGCAGAGCTTAGTCCAAATGCATTTCCTACATCTGGTGCTTTTAAAGATAATCCCTAAGTTATGACAGGTGGGAAACTACCATTTTCAAACTTGAAGCTGAGAAGGTCTTTGCCACCTGAGAACCTTCAGCAGTATGATGACAAAAGGAAGCAGAACAATCAGCAGGAAGTTAGAGGCGACAGGACTCTTTCGAGTTCTATAGCCTAGATCAATGGTTCCCAACCTTGGGTGACCCAGATGTTCCTGGACTGCAACTCCCAAAATCCCAGGATAGCAGAGCTAGTGATGAAGGCTTCTGGGAGTTGTCAATCCAACACCTGCATTACCCAAGGTTGGGAATTGGGTCCACTGAGGGGGGGGGAGGATAATTTTTCCCTCATTATATAAGAACATAAGAAGAGCCCCAGTAGATCAGGCCAAGGGCTCATCTAGTCCAGCTTCCTGTATCTCACAGTGGCCGCAGTGGATGTCCTCTGGTTCTGGTATTGCGTGAGAGGGGAAAGAGCTTCCCACTATTCCCTCTACCCATTCCCTGCACCATTTCTCAATCATGTCCCCCCTCAGGCCCCTTTTTTCTAAAGAGCCCTAAATGCTGTAGCCTTTCTTCGTAAGGGAGGTGCCCCAGCCCAGTTCTCATTTTAGTCACACTCTTCTGCACATTTTCCAGCTCCACTATGTGTTTTTTGAGCTGCAGTGACGAGAACTGTACACAATACTCCAGGTGCAGCCTTACCATCATTTGCTACCATGGCATTATAATGTTGGATGTTTTATTTTTAATCCCCTTTTTAATGATACCTAGCATTGCCTCCACCCATTTTAGTCACACTCTTCTGCACATTTTCCAGTTCCACTATGTCTTTTTTGAGGTGCAGTGACGAGAACTGTACACAATACTCCAGGTGCAGCCTTACCATAATTTGGTACCATGGCATTATAATGTTGGATGTTTTATTTTTAATCCCGTTTTTAATGATACCTAGCATTGCCTCCACCCACCCACCCCAAAAAAACTGGTCCCTGAAGTTTTTATTTGTCCTTTAACGGTATCTGCATACCTTGGTTCCAAGGGCAAATAGTACTGTAAATAAGGAAGCCCTGAATCCAGAACATAGTAGAAAACTAAGGTTAAAAAAAAAATCCTCAAAACTCCGACAATCAATTTCAAGCTACACTTTGCCACTTAAAAATAAATGAAAGTGGGAAACCCAGCCATAGATCTCTCATATCTTGTCTCATTCAGTTTCAAGTTTTGATCATTCTGTTGAATTACACTGAAATTTGAACATGGTCCTGCTATAGTATATTGGGACACACCAACAACCTCTTCCCATACTGGTCCCCTAATCTGCCCTATGCAGCCAGCAAGACCAAATACACTCAGGGACTTGTAATAGGAAATATCAAACACACACACACACACACCAAAAAAAGACAGGCATACTCTAAGAGATCCCATTCATATTAAAGAGGAACCCTTAATTCATTTTACCCAGCCAATGGCTCGCTCACACCTTGCTGTCCCACCTTTACCTGCCACCAAGGCCGCTCAGCGTCTGCATCAGCCGGCACCTCTACCCCGTAACACTGCAGCGCAAGGTACAGGACAGTCACAGCAATATGCTGCGGGGGATGCTGGAGACATAGAGGCCCATGGTAGCTGTCTCGCAAGAGGGCCCATGCAGCCACGGCCACTGGCGTCCGGTCCCAACTGTGACGGTTCATCCACTGCTTCAGAGACAGTAAATAGTGAAGCAGGTACTGTATTAAAAGAAAGAAAGAAAGAAAACCAGCTGTCAGGGATGGCTGAAAAGGGGATTCCTCAATATGTCCTCCACAAAGCCCCTTTATTATCTACTGATTTCTTCCATGCTTTTATTCGGGCACCTGCTATGTCGGCAGCAAACAGTCCTTAAGGGGTTCTGACTCCAGACCCTTGTTGCTACCACCCTCACAGGTGATGATAGATTGGCACATGTATTTCCTTCTCTCTTGTCCTTTACCCTCACCTGGCGATAATGGATTGACACATGTATTTCCTTCTCTCTTGTCCTTTTTATAGCCTCAGAATGCCCCTATGAAGTAGGTCAGTGTCCAGAAACTTCAGTGGACCCAAAACACAGCAGCCAGATTGCTAACTGGGGCTGGTCACAGGGATCACATAATTCCCATTACAGCAGCCCCAGTAGCTGCTGATCTGTTTCTGGCAACAACTCAAAGTGCAGGTTCTAACTTATCTTAAGGACTGCATCTCCTGTTATGAACCAACTCGAGTCTTATGATAATCAGGATCATCATTGGTCCCACCACCTTCACAGGTGCATTTGGTGGAGATATGAGAGGGGGCCTTCTCTGTTGCTACACCCAGTCTCTAGAACTCCCTCCCATGGGAGGCCAGCCTAGCCTTATATTTGCTATCCTTCTGCAAGCAGGCAAAGAATGAATGACTGGCTGCCCTGTCAAAGATTTCCCTGAATGACTGGCTGCCTGAGTGGGTTTTTTTTAATGATTTGTTGTACCTTACTGCATTGAAAGCTTTGTGTTTTGGTGTTACTTATGTTTACCTCTTTTTTGGTATAGTATTTGTTTGATCCTTTTGAGCATTTGTATAACTCACTGTTAGCTTTAAATACTTTCTTTTAAATGATGTGAGTCACACTGGGTCCTTTTAAAGGAGAAAGGTGGGGTAAAAATATTTTAAATAAAATAAACAAGGCCACTCATTGAACATTATGGATGATGGAAGATCTGAAGACAGATCTCTCTGCTCCAACACTCTATAATAGGGACAGGGAACGTGTGGCCCTTCAGATGCTGTTGAAATACAGCTCCCACCAGGCTCTAAGCAGCACAGCCAACGGTGCAGGACGCTGAGACCCGCAGTCCAACAACATCAAGCAGGCCGCACGTTGCCTAGCCCTGGTCTTCGTTGCTTGCCTTCCTTGGAATTCATACCCCCCTGCTTCCACCCTGAGCCCCATGCTGTGCAGCCTGGACCTTATGGGGATGCTGGAAGGAGACACGGAAACATAGCATCCGTAGCATGAGCAGCTCACACTGGACAATGCTGTCTCGCAGCTCCCAGAAATGTGCATCGAGCTCAAGGGGGTCACTCCGGGGGTGCAGGTACCTGATGGGAGCAGGGAAAATAATATGACAGAGATTTATTGTGTTAAGTGCAGTTAAATTGACACAATGTTTCCTCTGAATCCTCCATTCAACAGTCAGAAAGGTAGTCACATGCCAGTCCTTTACATGCAGTGGTCCCGAACCTTGGGCCTCCAGATGTTCTTGGACTTCAACCCCCACAAATCCTGGCCAGCAGAGGTGGTGGTGAAGGCTTCTGGGAGTTGTAGTCCAAGAACATCTGGAGGCCCAAGGTTGGGAACCACTGATCTAGGGGCAGCCACTTAATCTACCGTAAGTATCTAAACCACTTAATCTAAGTATCAGTTGTGATACTCACAATGTTCTGTCTTAATCTAAGTATCTAAACCACTTTATATGGACATGTTTTCAGTACTAGAACAGACTCAATTTCCTGAAGCTGGTTTGGCTCTACTGTGGCTACTGTTATGTATATTGAGGAATAAATTTAAAAGTCCTCTCTCTCAACTATGTGTGATAACTTATTTCATACCTCTTCTTCAAAAATTACTTAAATCCAACTGTTGGTAATACAGACATAATTAGTAATGTTTAATTGTCTTGAGGCTGCAATACTGGCCTACGGCTCCCCCAGTCCCTCCCCCAGTCCCTCACCACTGGCCAGGCTGACTGAAGCAGATGGAAGTGTGAGTTCAACATAATTTGCAAAACAGAAGAATCCCCATCACTGCCTTGGAAAGAAGTCCATTTGCAAGTAAAGGAGTTTTGCCAACTGTCACCAGAACATTTAGCATGCAAATTGGAATTGGGTCAGGATAAAGTTAAAGAAGCTGACCTTTATGTCTTATTGTTGTATCCCATGGAGTTACACACTCCTAATATATCCAATTCTAGCATTCTCAGCCTCATGTTCTTTTTCTCTCTATTTCACATGGATGCACACTCCCTATTTACCTATGGCTCACGTTGATGATGTCCCTTGTCCGCATTTCACATGGATGCACACTCCTTATTTACCTGTGGCTCACGTTGATGATGTCCCTTGTCCGCAGATGCTGCTCTTCCACCTTACCAGCCAGATAAAGGGCAGCCATCGCTACCAAGTAGGGATCGTATGGTTCCAGAGGGACCTCCATAAAAAATCGGTGATAGATGGTACAAGCTGTAGCAATTGGGACAGAGCGCAAGCCCAGCTTCACACCTGTCAATAGAAAACAGATACTCTGAAGCAGTTTCTGGCTCTCCTAACTACCACTAGCCTGCAAACACTAGAGAGGAAGAAAGGACACTGGAAACCTCAGGCTAGATGGGAAGGACCATAGAAAGCAGAGATTTCAGAGTGAATTTGGAGCCTTCCAGGTATGGCTGAGGCTAACACCTGCAAGGCCACATAGCCAACAGTATGGGATCTTAGGAGTCATAGTCCAACAGCATCTGCAGGACCACAGATTTGCCCAACCCTGTTCCAACCCTCTTTCTTTTGAAACGGTAAGGAAAACCACTGGGGCTGTAGTTTATCATCTAATCCCTCAATGAGACGTGAACTTGCTCTCACCTTTCTATAGGCATGGGTGCCAAAACATTGAGAGTACTTTATATCATTTATTTTCGGGGAGGGGGGAGTAACTGAAATGAAAATGTGACTGAAGTTATCAAGCAAAAATAAACAATTTTGGTGAAGCCACTGTTTGCTATTCAACATAAATGCTTTGCCGCTACGTAGTGGCTCATGATGCCCACCAGTCTCTTCTCCCAGTCCCAGTCCCCAATCTATGAGTGGTGCAGCTTCTGTCCTATCAGACTGGATCCTCTCTCAGGAGCAAGGAACTTGCAGCCTTCCAGATACTGCCAGACTACAATTTATCACAGAGCCAATGGTGAGACAAGCAGCAGTCCAGCCACATCTGGAGGAACCACACGTTCTTCACCCCTGCTCTACAGGATCCTCCCAGTATCTCCCCAGCCCATATTGTTCTTGCCACTGTACAGCCCTCTTTTCACACAGAGACTGGCGCAATACTAACCAAGTAGGTATTTCAACAGGACCAACATGGGAAGCCTGCAACAGACCTCTCACCTGCTTCTATAATAAACCTGCAGACTTTGAAGTGTGTTCTGGCATCTGCTGAAACCTGTCTGGCCTCCTGCAATCCAGTGGGATCCATGAATGCTGGATACTGCGTGGGGAATATCCCCAAAACTCAGTCTGAAAAGAAGGACACTAAAGTCAGTCTAGGAAATGTATTTTGCTTTATTGTTATGTGCCATCAAGTTGCCTCCAACTTATGGTGACCCTATGACTAAGCAGCCTCCAAAATGTCCTGTCCTCAACAGCCCTCTTCAGCTCTTTTAAACTCAAGCCTATGTGTAGTGTGGCTTCCTTCAGGGAGCCAGTCCATTTTGTACTTGGTATCCTTCTTCTTCGTGCTGCCTTCCACCTTTCCCAGCATTATTGTCTTTTCCAGAGAATCCTGCCTTCTCATGATGTGCCCAAAGTAGGGCAGCCTCAGTTTCTACATTTTTGCCACTTTGCTTTGCTTAGATCGCATCTTTATGTCCAAACTCAGCCCTTCTTGTATGACCTTATTCCCTGAGATCATCAGCTGGGTCCCATATTTTTTGCATTAAGACTCTTACTTGACAGTGGCCACTACTGTACCATGCTTTTTTTTTTCCTAACGCCACAGTAGCCTAGCAAAAGTCACAGATCCATAGTACACCAAACTAAGATGAGGACAGCTCATATCTCTCCAGCAGGTAAATAAAATGGGCGGGGAGAGCTAAAGCACAATCATAACCCTTGTCAGAAGAGAAGGATGGAGGTAGGAATCCAACACATTTTTAGGGCTATGGAGATGGAGACGACTGAGCATGGCACTCTTCCCAACAGCAAATCTTTCCAGAGATTGCAAGGCCTGTTCTGTAGGAACCAGAAGGCTACAATTCTTCCATAACGTTATTGATTGATTGCTGCCCTCACCTTCCAACCGCAGAGACGTAACATAGTAGAATACCTCCTATTAACACAATATGTTATGAAGGCCAAGACGGGCAGGCGTCGGACTAGGACTCACGAAACGCGGGTTTCACATCCCTCCGTGGCCACGGGCGCTCATACGAGGGGAGGTCGCACCGGGGCGCCCCCCTTCCCGAACCCTCTCCCTGCCTCTCTCCTGACCTAGGCCATATAGGAGGGTCGCCAGAAGCGGCGTGACGCCCAGGTAACAACGACTGCGTCATCGGCGACCACCCACAACGTCATCCTGTGGACTACTACGTCGGCGGCACACGGTTGCCTGGGGGGGGCACCTGCAGAGCGCAGGAGGCAAGCCCCCGCGCAGCGCCCAGTTCCCGGTCACTCGCCTGCCCCCCTTCACCCGCACC